AGTCAATGTATGACAGCTTCTGATATTGATTATTGATTGAATCAACTCCATATAAAACATAGCTCTAGAGTTTATATACTGACTAATGAAGAAATGTTCCAGATTACAGATTTAAATCAATAATTGTCCGTTTGTATCCGTCCATTCAGCTGCTGTCCTCTGTGAAAGATCAAGACACCAGTTTCTGTATCTGAAGAACACAAACAAGACACAGCAAGCAGCTGATATCACTGTCTAGTCCAACAGCTCCACCAGGTTACATTACTGTCCATCAAGAAACTCTGTAAATCACAGCTGTAGTGACCAGAAAACATTTTCTCCATAAAATCTGATCCAGTTTCACCAAAATCAGCGTTACACACTTGTTCCGACCCGTGGAAGGTGGAAAAGTTACATAACCATGCTTTAAGTCCAGGAAACAGGGATCGGGTGGTGGGTAGAGGGTCTGATTGTGTCTGGAAGGTTTTCTCTGAAGGTCCCTGCAGCTGTAAAGGCCCACAGAAGAGCGGCGAGGTCAGGCAGCACCTGGTTGCTGTGGGGGGACGGTCTGAAGCTCCAGCAGCCGCTGAGGATCAGGGACAGTGTGGGCGGCGCGTACAGGGTTAATGAGGGCGCTGCTGGGAAACGATCAGCCCCAGGTGACGACACGCCTGACGGACACATGGCTGCAGGCGGTGCCGTGAGCCGTGGAAATTGAAGAGGAGGGAGGTCAGAGGAAAGACACAGTCAGGAAAAACATATCTGAGCTCAGACCGACGTCCAGCAGCCAGTCAGCAGTTGGTTCAGTGTTTGTGTCTCTGGTTTCTGCTGCGCTTCTTATTTCAGCCACTTAAACACAAACTGTTTCGTATCAGCTCGTTCTTGTGAATCTTCTGTCAGTATCTTTCTATGTGTTTTAAAGTATAACTTGGAAAATGTTGGGCTTAGATCAGCTGCACACTGTAGCTGCTCGCCTGTTGCTCCAATCAGCAGTCACTTCTGTTCCCGGGTCAAACGCTGCAGCAGTCGGGTATGAATCGTCTCCACTCGCCCCTTTCCAGCTATGAACTACCACCGTATCAATGTCGCTGGCCTCGTGCTGCTTTCTTACTGTTTGCTAACCCTGTTAGCAGCTCGTACGTGGTGTCGAACATGACACAAACTCGTCGACTGGCAATGAGAAAGGAGTCTGGTTTCAGCAGATTTACCTGTGTTTAAAAAAACCTGCGTATGTGCTCAAATGTCAATTGTAAAAAGCCGTCATAGATTTCTAAATTATTTTACAAGAAGCAGAAAATCCCTAACCCTAACGGCTAAAACATCCACATTTGTATAAAGCTAAGCTAACGTGATGTTAAGAGTTGGATACTGTCGACTTTAACTGCCTGTTTGAGAAAGAAATAATCACTTTGCATTAATGTTTATAGCTTTAGCTGCTCGTCACAAGTCATAACGATACGACGCTCTGTGACTGTGTGAGTGTCTGCTGCCCCCTAGTGGCGAGAATGTTGCAGTTTAAATAACTTTAGCTTTTCCATCCGGCTGTAATGAAATAAAGTTTTGCCTGTTTGTCTCCCTGGCTGCGGTGTCCTGCCGGTCGCCTCATCCATTCACATCGAGCCACGGTAACCACTTTGACACCACCGTAACGAAGGGCCACGGACACGCCCCCCCGATTTCCCCTCAGCCATAATGAAAGACCAATTAGAGGAGAGGATTAAGGCGCTTCACGTCCACACACAAATTAGCATTAATCAAAGAGCGTGTGTGTGTGTGTGTGTGTGTGTGTGTGTGTGTGTCCTCAGTGAATAGTGATGAGCTCCAGGCTCAG